AGGATCCATTTCAGGAAAATAGAAAAATGATACAAAATTCGTATCTCAATTTGACAACTATGTTCTACAGACATCTATTGTGATAAGCATAAAATAGAATGAAAGAATTTTCAGGCATAAATGGACGGCCATTTTTCATAGAGATTGGCAGTGGGAAACATAATGCTCATGATCATGAATTGGTTGATTTAAAAAAAAGCTCACCCCAATGAGCTTACATTATGGAATTTTTTAGTGAGACTCTAGCATCAGTCATACAATCTAGAAATCCAAAACTTCAAGTCCAACATCCTATATTTTGTCCTTTCTTTCTTAATTAAACTCCAATTGCTATTTCCACTTGTCTCAGCTTTCTCTGTACTCAACAAGCATCATACAAGCACTAACTCTTGCACTATCTATTTTCTTTCTTCTCACTCAACCAGTAATGCCAAGTTTTGGCCCCGTCACTCGTCACCCTCACAGCACACCCTAGCATGATCAACATAGAGTTATGATGGAGTATTATGTGAGATTTCGCACTCTTGATTTCAGAATGCTATTTTCGGGCATCAAAATGCCTTTCACTTATTTCTTTTTCCCTCTTTTCCTTGTCTTATTGAAAAAAAGAATGTACTTTTAGTACAACAACTGCATTAATCCATGCCAGTTAAAACATCTATTACTAATATGTCTACCTGATCTTTTTAAGTAGTTTTCAAATATCATTGATTACGACTTAGTCTTCCCTTTCAAACACTGACATTACCCAAGGATAATATGCAAACCAACCGTCATATATAGCTATTAGGGTTTGATGACTTGCTTGTGATGTAGAAGTACTCCAGAGACTCCATCCTCGCCGCTATCAAACAAAAGAGGAAAAAGTTAAAATCATAATCCATCCATAATATAATTATAAACAGAAGAATAATAACCATGCATACTGACATGAATGGTTCATTCACATGATCTCCTGACAGGTGTGAGACTCCTCCAATTGAATTCTGTTCCGAAATTGGAAAAAAAAAAAACAATAATAATAAGGCAATGATGACCAACAATAGAAGACCTTATGTTAGCTTTAGTGCTTGATACATGTAACAAAAACATTGGCAGCAGAAACAAGCTTACCGCCCATGTAAAGCAAAGGGTCACTTTTGCCCTTTCCTTCCCGGTATTCACCAACTACAACAGAACAAGCAACAACTCTGTAAGCAAACCAATGACAAGATCAAGGTGCCTCTTTTAGTTCTTGCACAAAGACTATCACATGACCCAATTAATTTCCTTAATGAATATTGAATACTAGAAATTGTGGCACAAACAATGCTCATGCTGTTTCTAAATTTAAATAGGTCCTACATGTGCCAATATTTGAAGTGGTTATTGAGGAGAGTAATGTGTGGTTCAAAGAAGGCTGACATTTGTGTTTAAAAGAGTTTCTAAGGAGTTGTGCCTGACCATATAACAGCAAAAAACAATTAGGACAGCCCATCAAGTAGCTGTCCAACAGCTAAATTCTAACTTTGAACTGTCTGCAGGAGAGTCAGGTAAATTACCTCTGACCTAAAATATTTCTTAATGCATCTAAAGAGTGGTAAGTTGACACTCAAAGACCCAAAACCATTATATTAGTAAGTAAATAAATGATGAAGAACCACTGAACTATTAGTTCCATCTAACAATTCTACATGAAAAGAAACTAGAACTGTCATCATTTAACTACTAAATTTTTCACTAAAATGATAAATTTGCATACCGTATAGACAAAAACTGCCGTAGGAAGACTGCTATCTCGATAATTATGGGGTATGAATGGTGATATTTGGCGACAGGATACTTTTAGCTCTGGGTCCGGTTCACCTGGAGGTGAAGTAATATCATTAAATGAATACTGTGAGAAAATCTCTATTCTTAGCAGGCAGAGTTACAAAAGAATGATACCATCATATATGGTCCATGCCCTTGGGAATAATGCATGATATGTGGAATGCTGCCCACTCAAATTCCAGCCCCATGATGATATACCCTTATCTCCCAATTTCCTGTAATTATAAAAAAATACATAAATAAACACAGAAAAAAAAGGGGTAAAAATTTGCGGCGCACTAATAACTGTTCATAAACTTCAATATAAACAACATAATGAAGAGCATGCTTAAGAGCATTAAAAAAAAAAAAAAACAACGCGCAATTAGTAATTTTCTTATGGTTCATATGTAATTTTCTTTCTCAAACCATCTCCTCAGCTCAATCCATTACAGGAATGGCAGCCACAATCAACAAAATGATAGTTCAAGTTGAAATTGTTCATTATTTTAGGTGATAAAATTGATCCAATACAAAATATATATATATATTGATAATGGCCACAACGTACATATACATAGACATTCTCAATCAAAATTGTATTGGTAAAGTGTCCTACAAATACATTTAAAATATTCTATTTTCATAGCAGGTGAAATTGTGCAATCAATTTGAATCCATATTGCCATCATGTGAGCTAAACAACACCAAAAGTGACATGGACCCAGTCCCCAACAAAGTCAACAATAAGAAGCAGAGTTAAATCAAGAGATCCCTTTCAACCTTAACTTCTCATAGATGACATGAAAAATTACAAATATGACATGTAGTTTTGCATTGCTATTTCCAATTTCACTCTATCACTCATCATGTAGTTCAGCTGTTAATATCACCACGAGATGTAAAAGATATCCAATAAACAAGAATGGGGCTGAAGCATGTTTCTCAACTCAGAGAAACAAAACCATGGTAAAATGTAAGAATAACAAGAAGATATAGCTCCACAGCCCCAACCCCCTACCTCCAATATACAAAAAAATAATAATAATAAAGAGAAGGAAAATACAACCAATGGAACCAAACGTGGATAAACAAAAGCAAGGGGGGGAAAAAAAAAGGAAAACCTTATTGTCAAGGGTGAGTACATCGAAAAAGTAAATTATAGCTGAATGCAGTATTTTTCTAATTTCTAAAAATAGAAAATATCACATGAATAGAGTTCAAGTATTAAAGAAAAGAGTTTGTAAGATTAAGGCGGAGAAAACATAACAGTTTATATATCTTAGATGAGTTGTTATTGATCACTGAGCCAAAATGACTAAGAGAAAAGGTGCAATTATCCTCTGAGACAGAGTTTCAAGGAATACGAGAAGTGTTTTAAATTAATTATGAACAATTACAATAGATGAAATTTATAAGAACGAAAAATAAATGATTTCTTTGTAGATATCTATAAACAAAATTACAAAAAAATATATAGTCAATCATGAATGAACTCATTCATTTAAACATATAGAGTGCAACCACTTCTCGTTCAGACACTCTGAGTTCTAAAATTTGGAAAAGGAATTCTTTCTGTTTTCTTTCTTTTCTTTTTTTCTTTTTTTAAATCATATTATACAAAGAACATAATAGTTTTATGGATGAAATTTTTTAGGTTTTATATTCTATAAATCCCTCTCTGATTGATTCCAAGTTTCTACACTTGAATATGTACCCAGATAAGTGTAAGTACCCAAAAGTTATGACCAGTGTGCAAGATGAATGGTATCATGATTCCGAAGCCACAGCACCATCTAAACAATTTCTCCTGTGACACAGCTAAGAAGCAAATAACTAGGCTACTCAACACAACCAATAATTTACACCAGCATTCAGAAGCTTCAAGAAAGAACTAAAAGAAAAGATAGTCTAGTACAACAATTCACACTAAACCATTCCAGAGAGTAGAAAACCAGAAATTGATTGGACCAGGATGCACAACCTCAAAAAATCTCAGATGCATATTGAGTACCAATTGTAAAAGATTATGTCTCAAAATGAACAATCTTCTGATGAAAAGCTGGCTTTTGCAACAAAATTCCTATCTCTCTTAAAAATGAACTAGTAGTTGACCCATGCAATATACGTACTATTTTTTTTTTTTCAAAAAATATTTGATGGTACGATATGTGTATTATAAAAGAATAATTTTAATTTTAATTTAAAATTAAAATTAAAATTAAAATCGAATTATGATTTTAATTATTTATTTTGATAATATTGGCACTATCATTCTATGAAAGTGTTACTTAAATACTTATATATATATTAATTTTAGTTAAATTATTTGTGTATTTTGATAATTTTAGTTATATCGTATTATAAAAGTATAATTATAATACAATAATTTTGTATAATATACATATATCAAATTATAAGATAGTAAAATAAATACTCGTTTTGATATTAAAAATAATAGTTAAATTAGAAGAAGAATTAGTACTATAAAATTAAAAGTAATTCTAACTATTTAATTTTCTTTTATATTTATGTAAAAATAGAAACTACATAAAATTTATTGAAAAAATTAAATATAATATATTGTAGTTGAATTATCATATAATGATTTTATATGATATATATCAAATTATAAGATTGTAAAATAAACACTCTTAATTAAATTAAAATATCAACTATATAAAATAAATTCAACACCAACTAACCAAGAAAGAATCTCATAACAACATCTAAACCCAAAAAGAAAAAATACATGAAAACATCCATACATCTCACAATGTAAAATGATTAATCATCTATAATATGATGTAAAAATATAGAAGAACTTACAATTCAGCAATTAAAAAAGTAACTGAAGCAGTTAATCCAACTTTCAAAGATTCTTCGAGATTGTTGTGCAGATTTTTTCTCTTGTGAGTTGTGATTATATAAAATAATGTAGGAAACATTTTGTACAATCAAAATATAATCCATATAGAAGTTGTAGTTAGATTTCATGTAAAACTCAAATTAGGTTTGTAAAAGAAGATTTCTCATATAGAATTAGTATTGGGTTTGTGGATTATCTAAATTTACAATAGAAAACATATGGGAAAAAAATATCTCTCAAACAGAGTCCAAGCATAATTTAAATTGAGTTTGAACTTGTGTAGAACTCTATATTTAAATGGGAAATGCATGCTGATGTCTCTCTTAAAAAAAAGTAAGCTCTTATAATGTGTTACTTAAGCATGGAAAAAAACACTATTTTAATAATATATATATGATTATATGCCAATTTGCCATCGAGTCTCACAATTCATCAATTTTTACAGCATTTGTCAATCATCTCTAAATATGGGACTTAACAAAGCTCATGATCTCCTTAAGAAAAGTGCAACTGAAATGTAAATTCCCTTACCCTAACCCTTCATGCTGGCCTGGGGCTAGAACTGAAGAGTAATTTTTATTCCCTTCGTCTCGAGATATAAAAATCTGTAGTAAAAATAATTAAATAAAATCAAACACAACATTCAAGTAAAAAAGTAAATATTTACATGAAAAAAATTCAGCATGTTCTTTACAAAATAAAACAGTAACATCTCAAACACCTCTTGAAATATAAACCATGTGTATAGTATTCTAAGTAGATTACTCAGTAAATTCTCACAAAATTACTAAGTAAATTCCCTGTAAATTCTCAGTAAATTACTCAGTAAATTCCCAATAAATTTTCAGTAAATTCCTAGTAAATTCTCAAAAAATTACTTAGTAAATTCCCTATAATTTCTGAGTAAATTACTCAGTCAATTCGCAGTAAATTCTCAATAAATTCCCTGTAAATTCTAAGTAAATTACTCAGTAAATTCAAAGTAGATTACTCAGTAAAATTTCACAACATTACTCAGTAAATTCCCAGTAAATTCTCAGTAAATTTCTAAGTAAATTCTCAGAAAATTACTCAGTAAATTACCATTAAATTCACAGTAAATTACTCACCAAATTACTCTGTAAATTCCTAACAAATTCTCATTAAGTTAATCAGTAAATTCCCAGTAAATTTTTATTAAATTACTCAGTATATTCCCAGTAAATTACTCTGTAAATTCCTCGTAAATTCTCAGTAAATTACTACGTAAATTTCCCTTAATTCTCTGTAAATTACTGAGTAAATTCCTCGTAAATTCTAAGTAAATTACTGAGTAAATTCCTAGTAAATTTTCACTAAACTACTCATTAAATCCTCAACAAATTCCCAGTAAATTCTCATTAAATTACTTTGTAAATTGCTAGTAATTTAGTGAGAATTTACTAAGTATTTATTGGGAATTTAATGAGTATTTACTGAGAATTACTAGGAATTTACTCGGAATTTGCTCAGAATTCTCAGTAAATTACTCAATAAATTCCCCGTAAATTGCTCGTTAAATTCACAGTAAATTACTCAGTAAATTTTCAGTACATTCCCATTAAATTGCTCACTAAATTCACAGTAAATTCTCAGTAAGTTACCACTAAATTCCAAGTAAATTCCCAGTAAATTCATAGTAATTTCTTAGAAAATTCTCAGCAAATTACTTAGTAAATTACAGATTAAATTCTCAGTAAATTCCCAGTAAATTACTCAATAAATTTCGAGTAAATTCTCAGCAAATTATTCAGTAAATTTCAAGCAAATTCTCAGCAAATTACTCAATAAATTCCCAATAAATTCTCAGTAAATTCCAAGTAAATTCTCAGTAAATTACTGAGTAAATTCTCAGTAAATTCCAAAAAAATTCCTAGTAAGCTCTCAGTAAAATATTCAATAAATTCCCTGTAAATTCTTAGTAAATTACTCAGTAAATTCTGAGAAAATTCTCATTAGATTACTGTGTAAATTTCCAGTAAATTACTCAGCAAATTCCTACTAAATTTTCTGTAAATTACGCAGTAAATTCCAAATAAATTTCTAGTAAATTCTTTGTAAATTACAAAGCAAATTCCCAGAAAATTACAGTGTAAAATTTCAGTAAATTTCCAGTAAATCGCATTAAATTACTCAGTAAATTCCCAAAAAATTTTCAGTAAATTCCTAGTAAATTCTCATTAAATTACTGTGTAAATTCTAAGTAAATTCCCAATAACTTCTCAGGAAATTCTCAATAAATTACACAGCAAATTCCTAGTAAATTACTCAATAAATTTTCATTAAATTCCCAGTAAATTACGTAGTAAATTCCCAGTAAATTCTCAGAAAATTCTCAATAAATTATGAGTAAATTACTCAGTAAATTCCCATCAAATTAATCAGTAAATTCCCATTAAATTCTCAGTAAATTGCTCAGTAAATTCTCATTAAATTACTTAGGAAATTCTTAGTAAATTTCTCAGTAAATTCTTATTAAATTACTCAGTAAATTACTTAGTAAATTCCCAGCAAATTTCTGAGGAAACTCCCTGAAAATTCTTAATAAATTCTCAGTAAATTCCAAGTAAATTTTCATTAAATTAATTAGTAAACTCCTAGTAAATTTTTAATAAATTACTCAGTAAATTCCAAGTAAATTACTGAGAAAATTTTCAGTAAATTCTCAGCAAATTACAACGTAAATCCCCAGTAAATTTTCATTAAATTACTTAGTAAATTCTTTTTAAATTCTTAGTAAATTACTTAGTAAATTCCCATTAAATTCTTGAGTAAATTCTGAGTAAATTCTCAGTAAATTCTTATTAAATCACTAATTACATTACAAGAAAATTCTCAGGAAATTACTCAGTAAATTCTCATTAAATTATGCAGTTAATTCCAAGTAAATTCTCTGTAAATTACCCAGAAAATTCTCAGTATAAACTACTCAGTAACATGCTAATAAATTCTCAGCAAATTACGCAGTAAATTTCAAGTAAATTGTAAGTAAATTACTCAGTAAATTCGTAGTAAATTCCCATTAAATTACCCATTAAATTCCTAGTAAATTCTCAGTAAATTCCCAGTAAATTACTGAGTACATTCTCGGTAAATTCCCAGTAAATTCTTAGTAAATTACTAAGTAAATTCCCAGTAAATTCTCAGTAAATTACTCAGTAAATTCCCAGTAAATTCTCATTATATTACTATGTAAATTCGCACAAAATTCTCAGTAAATTACTCAGTACATACCCAAAAAATTCTCTGTAAATTCCTTGTAAATTACTCATAAAATTCCCATAAATCTTATTAAATTTCTCAGCAAATTACCAGTAAATTCTTCGTAAATTACTGAATAAATTCTCAGTAAATTACTGACTAAATTCCCAGTAAATTCTCAGTAAATTACTCAATAAATTTCCAGTAAATTCACAGTAAATTCTTAGTAAATTCCTAGAAAATCTTGATTAAATTCCCAGTAAATTCTCATTAAATTACTCAGTAAATTCTGGGTAAATTACTGAGTAAATTACTACTAAAATACTCAATAAATTTCTACTTAAATACTCAGTAAATTCGCAGCAAATTCTCAGTAAATTACTTAGTAAATTTTCAGTAAATTACTCAGTAAATTCCCAGTAAATTCTCAGTAAATTACAGAGTAAATTCCTAGTAAATTCTCAGTAAATTACTCACTAAATTCCCAGTAAATAGTCTATAAATTTTCAGGAAATTCTCAGTAAATTATTCATTCTCAATAAATTACTGAGTAAATTCCGAGTAAAATATTCAGTAAATTCCCCGTAAATTCTTATTAAATTACTCAGTAAATTCCCTGTAAATTCAAATCAAATTCTCAGTAAATTACTCATTAAATTCTCAGTAAATTACTCATTAAATTCCCAGTAAATTCTCAGTAAATTACTCTTTAAATTCCCAGTAAATTCTCATTAAATTAATCAGTAAATCCCCATAAAAACTTATTAAATTTCTCAGTAAATTCCCCATAAATTCCCTGTAAATTACTCAATAAATTCCCAGTAAATTCTCAGTAAATTACTCAGTAAATTCCTAGTAAATTCTAAGTAAATTACTGAGTAAATTCCTCGTAAATTCTAAGTAAATTACTGAGTAAATTCCTCGTAAATTCTAAGTAAATTACTGAGTAAATTCCTCGTAAATTCTAAGTAAATTACTGAGTAAATTCCTCGTAAATTCTAAGTAAATTACTGAGTAAATTCCTCGTAAATTCTAAGTAAATTACTGAGTAAATTCCTCGTAAATTCTAAGTAAATTACTGAGTAAATTCCTCGTAAATTCTAAGTAAATTACTGAGTAAATTCCTCGTAAATTCTAAGTAAATTACTGAGTAAATTCCTCGTAAATTCTAAGTAAATTACTGAGTAAATTCCTCGTAAATTCTAAGTAAATTACTGAGTAAATTCCTCGTAAATTCTAAGTAAATTACTGAGTAAATTCCTCGTAAATTCTAAGTAAATTACTGAGTAAATTCCTCGTAAATTCTAAGTAAATTACTGAGTAAATTCCTCGTAAATTCTAAGTAAATTACTGAGTAAATTCCTCGTAAATTCTAAGTAAATTACTGAGTAAATTCCTCGTAAATTCTAAGTAAATTACTGAGTAAATTCCTCGTAAATTCTAAGTAAATTACTGAGTAAATTCCTCGTAAATTCTAAGTAAATTACTGAGTAAATTCCTCGTAAATTCTAAGTAAATTACTGAGTAAATTCCTCGTAAATTCTAAGTAAATTACTGAGTAAATTCCTCGTAAATTCTAAGTAAATTACTGAGTAAATTCCTCGTAAATTCTAAGTAAATTACTGAGTAAATTCCTCGTAAATTCTAAGTAAATTACTGAGTAAATTCCTCGTAAATTCTAAGTAAATTACTGAGTAAATTCCTAGTAAATTCTAAGTAAATTACTGAGTAAATTCCTAGTAAATTCTAAGTGTAATTTCTTAGTAAATTATTCAGCATGCATTGTGTGTGCATTCCCTTGATTCTCAATAAATTACTTAGTAATTTCCAACTAAATTACCCAGTGAAGAACTTAGTAATTTATCAGTAAATTTCTTAGTCAATTCGCAGTAAATTCTCAATAAATTACTCAGCAAATTCTCAGTAAAATTCCCAGTAAATTCCAAGAAAATTCTTAGTAAATTACGCAATAAATTCCCAGCAATTACTCAGTAAATTCCCAGTAAATTCTCATTAAATTAATCAGTAAATCCCCATAAAAACTTATTAAATTTCTCAGTAAATTCCCCATAAATTCCCTGTAAATTACTCAATAAATTCCCAGTAAATTCTCAGTAAATTACTCAAAAAATTCCTAGTAAATTCCGAGTAAATTACTCAATAAATTTCTAGTAAATTACTCAGTAAATTCATAGTAAATTCCAAGAAAATTCTCATTAAATTACTCAATAAATGTCTAGTAAATTCTAGGTAAATTACTGACGAAATTCCCAGTAAATTCTCCTTAAATTCCTAGTAAATTCTTAGTAAATTACTTAGTAAATTCCCAGTACATTCTCAGTAAATTACTCAGTAAATTCCTAGTAAATTCTAATCAAATTAACCA